GGGGGGCGGTTTAGGCTGCAGCAGGCACAGCCCCGAAGGCGGTTGCCGGCTCTCCCTGCTGGCCCGGCGCGTCTCTGACTGGGGCTCCTCTCCCCCAGGAGCGGCTGGCGGAGGGCCTGACGCTCAGCACGGAGTTCCACAGCACGGCGCAGGAGCTGCTGCAGTGGCTGGGGCAGACAGAACAGGGCCTGAGTGCCCCGGAGCCGCCCAGTTTCCTGCTGGAGACGGTGCTCAGGCAGGTCCAGGAGCACAAGGTGAGTGTGGCTGGCCCAGCGGCTGTCTCGGTGCCTGGCGCTGGGCGCCGCGCTGGCAGGGCTGCGACCCATGGCCCCAGACAGAACCCACCTGCCTTTGCTCAGAGTCTCGGCAGGTCTTGCTGCCATGCAATCCCTGCCAAGGGCGCCTGTCCCCTGGAGAGCCTGCCGTGCAGCTCGCCCTGCAGGGGCTGGCGCTGGGCCCTGCCTCCTCGCTGACCCTGGAGCAGCCTGGCCGGTCTGGTGCATGGCTGCAGGGACCTGGTCTCACCCGGCGGTGCCCGGTGTGAGCTCCCAGAGCCTGCAGCCAGGAACAGGGCCTGGCTCCCAGCAGTGCCTCTCCTGTCACAGGGCATGGCCCGAGGGGCCCCGGCGGGCACTGTGTCCGTGCTAGGCTCTGCTGGGAACGGTGCTCTGGGGCACTGGGGCAGGCAGGGGGCTCCCCAGGAGATGCTGGCAGTACGGGGGTGGGTGCGTGGCAAAGTTGCTGCAATACCATGTCCCCAGTGTCTCTATGTGGCATTGCAACAGCTATGCTCTGGCCCCCCAGCCAAGCCAGGTAACAGCCCAGCTCTTCACAGGGCCTCCAAAGCCACAGAACGCAGCAAAACAACCGCGCTTCAGCTCCCCGGGAGCCTTCTCCTTTGTCGGCTTGCCCCCGCTTCAGGCCGTCCCAGCCGGTCCCCAGGCCCTGGGACCTGCCCCACTCTCCCTCGACCCAGGGCTCAGGCCGACAGGGGCCCTGACCAGCCTGGCACCAGGTAGGCTCCCAGCTCCCTTTCACCTGGGGCAACGTGCTGGCCCCTCCCGGAGCAGCCCTTGGAGACCCAGCCCCCAGCTTCGGCCTAACCCCCACCCCTCCGAGGTTAATTGGTCGCTTTAACCCTTTTGTCACCACACCCCGTCGCAGCGTGTCTTCCCCACTAGGCATGCCTCCCTCCCGCAGCAGTGGGGGGATCCCACTGCTCCCAGCACCACGGCTCTTCCGGTGCCTGGAGCCTGCTCGCAGAAGCCCCCCTGCCGAGCCAGGCTGCTGCCCCTTGGCCGCGGCCTCCCCCAGGGCCGGCTGCGCCAGCCCCGGCTAGCTCTGGCTCGCTCGGCAGGCGCTGCTGAAGGAGGTGACGGCCCGCGGGGAGCAGCTGTCCAGCCTGGAGGCGGTGGCCGCTCGCCTGAAGGACGTGAGCAGGAAGCAAGACTGCGCTGTGATCCAGAGCCTGGTGCTCACGGCCAAGGAGCGGGTGGCCAAGGTGCTGCGGCGGACCGGGGAGCGGGGCGCCGCGCTGGAGGACGCTCGCAAGCGTGCCAAGCAGGTACCAGTGCGGGGGCGCCCGAGGGTGTGGCGGGAAGCGGGCCCTGTCGCCAAGTGGGCTGGTCTCCGGCGTTCCCGGCGGCTCCTGCTGACGCGCCCTCTCGCTCGCTTTCAGTTCAGTGAGTCCCGGCAGCTGCTCCTGGACTGGATGGATGAGGTGGAGCAGACTCTGGAGGTCCCCGGTGACGCCGCCATGAGCCAGGAGGAGATCAAGTGCCAGCTGGCTGAACACAAGGTGCGGCGCCGTGACTGCCCTCCCCAGCCCCCTGGGCCCTGTGCTCTGCCCCGGGCTGTTGCGCCAGCGCACGGCGGCTTGCAGATCCCCCGGACTCTGAGCTGCCCCCAAGGGCGGTGCTCCCTAGGGCTCTCCTGGGGTTGCCCGGGCTTCCCCTGTGCCGAGCACGAGGTCCCTACACCCATCTCTCTGCTCTCAGCAGGGCCAGGGCGGCTGCGTCCCCAGGGCTGGGCAGAACTGGGAGACAGCAGGGGTGACCCTGCCTCCCGGCTGGGCGGTGCTAGGCCCAGGGGAGCCGTTGAGCCCTCGGCTGGATGGGGGGTCGAGTGCCTCTCAGGAGCCTGCAGCCTTTGCCCGCTGCTGCCAAACTCCCGAGAACGCGGTGTCCCCCCACGGGCTCTGAGCAACACCCCCAAGGGATCCCACTCTTCATCGAGGGCCGGCCTCCAGGTCTCACCGGCTCCTTCCTGAGCCACTAGGCTCCAGCGCTCCTGCGTCATGCCAGGAGCTCTGCCCTGAGCCAGACCCTGGGAGAGACATGCAGGGACGGGTGCACCAGCCAGCGTTTGCAGCGACACCCGGCCAGACGCGGTTCCAAACCGCGCAGGGTTTACTAGTCAGCTGGGACAGGCCTGGCCGGCCCTAGCTCAGCACAGAGAACTGAAGGTAAAAGCATCGTCCGTCTGCCGAGCTGGAGCAATCGGCCAGCCAAGCTGGAGTGGCTGCGTCGCTCTCTGACTCCTTGTCAGTCCCTGGAGAGAGCAGCCGGCCTCCTCCAGAAGCCAGCCCTGGATCCCCTGCCCGACACGTCCCCGTCCTGTGTTCCCCAGGCCTGGCTGTGTTCACACACTGTAACGATGCGGTTCTGGCGGGACCCAACTGAGAGTGCCAATTCAGGACCAATTGCTCAAACAGGGCAGTTACAGCCCAAGGCTGGGGTTTTTCCACCTCTAAGGCAAACCAAACCAGCCAGACTAAGAGGACTTTGGTCTCACCCCACTGGCTAACCACAAGTCACACAAGCAATTCCCTTAGACACTCCAGTTTCCCAGTATCACCACCAGTGCCACTCATTATGGGGACAAATGGTTATGAAAACCAATACCCCAATAAAAGAAAAAGGGTTCTCCTGATCCCATAGGACGAAGCCCCAGACCCAGGTCAATATACAAATCAGATCTTACCCACAAATCACGCTGCTGCCAATCCTTTAGAATCTAAAATCTAAAGGTTTATTCATAAAAGGAAAACGATAGAGATGAGAGTTAGAATTGGTTAAATGGAATCAATTACATACAGTAATGGCAAAGTTCTTGGTTCAGGCTTGCAGCAGCGATGGAATAAACTGCAGGTTCAAATTAAGTCTCTGGAACATCCCCAGCTGGGATGGGTCCTCAGTCCTTTGTTCAGAGCTTCAGTTTGTAGCAAAGTCCCTCCAGAGGTATGAAGCAGGATTGAAGACCAGATGGAGATGAGGCATCAGCCTTTTATAGTCTTTTCCAGGTGTAAGAACCTCTTTGTCCTTACTGTGGAAAATTACAGCAAAATGGAGTCTGGAGTCACATGGGCCAGTCCCTGCATACCTTGCTGAGTTACAAGGCGTATCTGCCTTCTCTCAATGGGTCAATTGTAGCTGATGGTCCTTAATGGGCCATCAAGCAGGCTAGGCAGAGCTAACACCAACTTGTCTGGGATGTCACCCAGAAGCAGAGCATAAGTTTGAAATACAGACAGTATAGAGTCAATATTCATAACTTCAACTACAAAATTGATACACACATATAGACAGCATAATCATAACCAGCAAACCATAACCTTGTCTTAGACACCCCATTTGACCCCCTTTATACAAGATTTGGTGCCACTACAGGACTTTGGTTGTAACCATGTTCTATGTGGTCCCAGATTATATCAATAACATCACACACCCCACCGGCCAGAGCTTCCCACTCCTGAGTCTTTGGCGCTTGCCTTGTCTCTCTGCAGCCCTTGTTGACCTGGGCCAGGCTGAGCCAGTCCCGTCAGGCCCCAGAGCGCGGTGACTCCAGCTCAGGTCGCTGCGCTGCCCCAGAAGCAGACGTACCCCGTTCCCAGGCCAGAAGGGATCGCTGCGCCCACCTCATTACAGGCCCCAGAGCCTCCCCAAAGAACTCCTGGGCATTTGGATCTGACATTGTCAGTCATGGGGAATCCATCCCCAGCCTGGGGAAACTGGGCCAAAGGATAATTGCCCTTAAAAATCTATGCTTATCCCTCCCCCCCCGTACAATGCAAACTACAGAGGGAAACTGAGGCACGTGTGGGATTCATACAAATATTACAGACAATTCCATGCTCCCAGCCA